GGGGGGGGGGGATGTTCAGTTCATGTATTATAGGTCCATGGGTTACACGTTTCTCGGATCGAGATCTCAGACCGATTTCTAGCATCGTGGACACAAGCCTGAAATCCCGTATCACACGGATTAAGATTGAGATTAAATTGAAAATTGGCTAATCAGAGCAAAGTTCACTTGAGCTTAGTGAATTTTGCTTTGATTGGCTAAATTTCAATTCAATCTCAATCCTAATCTATAATCTGATACGGGTTTAAGACACATTTCACATAAGCAAAACATTTAGGGAGTTACCAGTCTAGTTATATATAGAAGCTTGTGGCAGTGACTCTAGACGCGCGCGACAGCCATGTTTCGAGAGCGCATGTACCGTTCGTGGTCCGGTCGAAATAGTGGTCCTCTAATATTCGGCCGTAATTACCGCCCGCGGCAGATAAACGCCCGGCAATAATAAGCGGAGGCGTGTAAGCCGAGTTGGGAAATTGCATTCGCGCTTAATCAGACCCGATCGCCGCGACGTTATATACTTGCGACACGTCGCGTCGTGATGCGCTCGTCGTAGCCACAGCCAACTTCAGAGGCGTGTCATGGTTGCGATCAGCAGCGCAGCGTTGTTCCTGCTAGCGTTCCCCTACAGCCGCTATTCGTCATCGAATTTCTATGAAAGATGCTCTCGTTAGGCCCGAAAAAGGACGGCGGTCCCAACGCGAAGTTCTTCGAGTCGCCGGATATCCTCGCCCAGCTCGACAGCGTGAAACAGTGGCTACTGAAGAATTGCAAAAAGGTACGTTCCGCTGCTATGTGCCGAAACATGGACCCGGCGTCGCTCGCGCGACGTTTTCGCCGTCGCTCAGTTTGCTCTTTGTTTGGCCGCGAGTACAATAGCCGACCGCGACGATTCTCGCGGCGGGTGTCGCGGCGAGGCTCTGCCGGGCGACCGGGACGGGTTTTGGCCACCGCGCGTGGCATGAGCGCCCACGATGCGCAAATATACGCTGACGCGCGCGGCACGTCCGACGCTGACGTGGAAATCACCCCGATGACCCCTTCGTAACTGCACGCTCACTGAGTCAATTGGATGTTTGTTTATCGCGTATTAATCCTCCTGTGCGCGAATTGATAAGATTCGTGCGTACGCGGAGGTAATTGACAAAAACTCTGCGAGATACGCGAGAACGAATGGGGCAGCACGCAACGACATTTTATTAACCTTGCGTGTCTAACGCTGGACGTGCTGCGAAATCAGTGGAAATTGGACGGTTCCTTTGTAAAACTCTGTGTGATGTTTTGCAGTATGTGCAAACGGATCCTCCCAGCAACAAGAGCTTAGCCACACTGTTGGTGCAGCTGCTTCAGTTCCAGGAGGATAACTTAGGAAAAAATGTGTCCAAGCCACCTATGACTAGACTTCCTGTATGTGATATTGTCAAGTATCCACGATAGCATTTAGAGACATCATGAAGCCAATTGTTAATCTATACATTTGATTTCTAGATGAAATGTTTTCTGGATTTTAAGCCTGGTGGAGGACTGTGTCATATATTAGCAACTGCGTATCGTTTCAAACATGAGCAAGGATGGCGGCGGTTCGATTTTCCTGGTGGAAAAGTAATTATTCATTTATTCATACAGTTATAATTCCTACCTTGAGGCTCAGGATGGCTTCTACTTTATTTTCATTTTCCACTTATATTTAAAACCTAATTCTTATCTTTGATCGATTTTAAATCTGTCTTCTCTAGCTGAATTAGTATTGAGCTTTGTTCTTTTTCTTTTTAACACTGGATTATGGTCTGTTTAATTGTAATTGCAAAAAGTGTAATCTAATTCAGCTAAAATGAACAGACCTCTTGACATGTATCAAACTAAATTTAATCCTATATTCAACTTTCCTATTATATTTTATTTATTTTTTTTCTTCTCTTTCCTACTATTCATTCTAATCATTTTAATTTGATGAAAAAATAATTCTCTTGTGTTTCTTATTCTTCTTTTTCACATATATTCTCAGTAGGTGTGTCTCTCAAGGATCATTGATATAATCCCTTGTTTCTATTCAAATGTAACAGGCCTTTTTCTACTAATAAAGTAATTATTGTCATTGCAGTCTGGTTCACGTACGGACCGCACGGTGGACATGTTAATGGCAGCAGAACGTGCTTTAATACAGAATAGATGTATGAACACACCGACTATTTACGTAAGACCAGAGGTCGACAAAACCACAGCTGTAAAAGTAAAGGAGGCGATTAGGAGACATCAGGGAACCGTGACGGAAAGCGAAGCGGATGCTACGCACATCATCTATCCTCCGGTAGATCCGATGGAAGAGGAATATGCACGACCCTGTATGAAACGCGAACGATCGATTTTACTTCATTGGTACTATTTTCCGGACAGTTACGACTCGTGGACGACGCTAGATTTGCCTTGGGATTATCCCGAAGGAACTCTTATGAATACAAATTCAAGGTAATGTATGTCTCTCATGGTCTCACCATAATCTGATTAACCAAATTCCGTTGACTTTGTTACCCATGGATTGTTACTAGCGAAATGTACATTGTTATTTCAAAACGTGATATGACTTGATATGTTCGGCCTGGTTTCGGGCTTGGTGACGCGTCCTTCATGAATTTATTTTCGACGTTTTCAAAACATTCCAGTACACTTCTTTAGGAAACTTCTGGAAACGACCTGAGACTTTCACTGAAAGAATCTTCTGAAGAAGTGAATAGGAATGTTCATGAAATGTCGAGAATAAACTCGTGAAGGACATGACATCAATCCGGAAACTAGGCCAAACATTTTATCACATATTTGATAATTTAAATATGTTTATAAAAATTTAAATATGTTTATGTACGTGAGAGTCACACTTAATTGATCTTGAAAATTATTTCAGATCCGTGTACAAAGTATCAGCTACGTGGGCATTAGATCTGGATCAATATAACGAGTGGATGAACGAAGAAGATTACGAGGTAGACGACAGCGGTCAGAAGAGAGTGCACAAATACAGGCTTTCCGTGGAAGATTTGATGGCGCAACCGTCCCATCCACCGCCCACGAAAAAGCCCAAGAGGAAGCGATCGCCTAGTCCACCTCCAAAGCTCGGCAAGCGTAAAAGGTACAAGGACTCCCGATATTTTTGCTCTTACTGAACTCGACTCGAATCTTTCGATGAAGAATTACCTCAAGTCTGATTTTGTACGATGTTACTTTTACAGTAGTAGAGCACCGTCGGGTATTCAAAGCGCTTCGTCTGCCTCATCGGCAGCGGCCCCCAAGAAATCGCGCGGGGGTGAGGAAGAAGAAGATCTGACCCAAGGAATGGAGGATCCACCCGCAGAACCTCGTATCGTAGAGGTCGTCGCTACTCCGACGAATCCGCCAATTACGGGTCAAAGCAACGCAACGACAGGCAACTCCACACTTGCATCTGCGGGTAGTAAAAAGCAAGACAGTGAACTCCAGCCGCTCAAATCGGGAAATATGGCTGACCTCGACGAACCGATGGAAGGTAAATATGATATCTATCTATTGCGTTTAGGTACAATATGATGAAGTTAAAAAACATTTCTGAGATACATTTAGATTAAACTTGAAATTTAATTTCACAATACAATACACACATGCATATTGACCGTGTCCGTGCTGATTTGAGGAATTGTGAATTTAGAAGCTGTAATAATTTCAGGTGATAAAGGGAGCTCTCAAGGTGGCCAGGATAGGGAAGAAAGAGACACCAGTAAAGAAAGAGGTGAAGGTGGCAAAAGCGATGAGCCTGAAGACAATGTGACCGAACAAACTCATCACATTGTCGTTCCCAGTTATTCCGCCTGGTTTGATTACAACTCGATTCACACTATCGAAAAGAGAGCCCTATCGGAATTCTTCAATGGCAAGAATAAGTCGAAGACTCCGGAGATTTATCTTGCGTATAGGAATTTTATGATCGACACCTATCGATTAAATCCGACAGAGTATATCACATCGACTGCTTGCAGGTAACATATGCAATACCTTCAATTATGTGTATTTAATTTTATTGCAGTTTTATCCATCACTGAGGAACTGTGTATTGGAGCAAAAGATTTTTTTTATTAAATGTATAATTCATTTTCTATCAAATTCAATTTTCTATTAAATTCTCTAGGAAGTTCAGGCATCATGAGGAAGATAGAAAATCCTCGTTTAGACATCTAAAGAAATACCGACTCAATGTTATTCATTTTATTCATAAAAGTTATGAATCTTTCGAAATTAGATAATACATCTTCTATTTTATTCGATAAATCTTTTATATCAATCCAGTACAATATAGTTAAGACATGAAATCAGTTATATTGTTGCGGATTGGCTGCGCTTCAGGTCGTGGCTGCAACGTGTAAAAAACAGTCGTTTCGTTCTTTCAGACGGAATTTAGCTGGGGACGTATGCGCGATTATGCGTGTCCACGCGTTCCTGGAACAATGGGGTCTCATCAATTATCAAGTGGACGCAGAATCCAGGCCGACACCAATGGGACCTCCTCCAACGTCGCACTTCCACGTTTTATCGGATACGCCGTCCGGTTTGGCACCGGTAAATCCAAATCCTCCAAAAACTCCACAACCGTCCGCTGCGAAGACGTTACTCGACTTGGAGAAAAAACCAGCCGGGGCGACTGCTGTCGGCGCAGAGGAGAAGGTCTCGGCCGGCGCGATGGCGAACTTCGGTCTGAAGATCGACCAGTATTCCAGAAAACCAGCAGTGTTGAAGAACAAGCAAGCGGCGGGCGCCACTCGCGACTGGACGGAGCAAGAGACGCTCTTACTATTAGAAGGATTGGAATTGCACAAGGATGATTGGAACAAAGTATGCGAACACGTCGGCTCGAGAACTCAAGATGAATGTATTTTGCACTTCTTACGTCTACCTATAGAAGACCCATACTTGGAGGAAGGTGGTCCCGAGGGATTGGGACCGTTGGCTTACCAACCGGTGCCATTCTCCAAAGCTGGCAATCCCGTTATGAGTACAGTTGCTTTTCTAGCATCGGTTGTGGATCCTAGGGTAGCTGCGAGTGCCGCGAAAGCTGCCATGGAAGAGTTTGCAGCGATCAAGGATCAAGTGCCAGCTGCGTTGCTGGATCAACACTTAAGAAACGTTCAAGCCAGCGCTAATTCGGACGGTAATTGTCTTCTCGTGTATCATCTTTATCTGCTTCTTTAAGGAAGTAGACGTTAATCAGTCAGTTAATACTAATTATCCATGTTTTCATGCGTTATCAGGTAAATTTGATCCGGCGGCGGGTTTAGCGCAATCAGGTATCGCTGGCACAGGACCACCCGAACCGCCAGACGATACGACGGCGTCTTCCACGACACCCTCTGTGCCGGCGGGTGCGAGTAATTCACCACATACAACAGCGCCCACTTCCGAAGTGAAGAAAGATGATCAGGAGAAGTCGAAGGAGTCAACAGACGTCGAACAATCTCAAATGGATGTCTCAAAGAAGGAGGATGAGTCGAAGGAGAACGAAGAGGACGCAAAGTCCGCTACTGATCCTGAAGCCATAGAAGCGAAGGAGAAAAAAGATAAGGTAAAATCTTTAGTAGCACCACAAGTTAACTTACATATCTTATAGAAAACATTGATATTCCCGAATAATTGTTATCGATCTTTGACTTTAATTTGCGTTTGTAACTTTAATTTGAAACTTGCTTATTGACACAGGTTGTAAGAGATGCCCAATTACAATCCGCGGCAGCAGCTGCGTTAGCCGCTGCGGCCGTTAAAGCAAAGCATTTGGCAGCCGTGGAAGAGAGAAAGATCAAATCGTTGGTTGCGTTATTGGTCGAAACGCAGATGAAAAAACTTGAGATCAAGTTGCGTCATTTCGAGGAGCTGGAGACGACGATGGAGCGGGAGCGCGAAGGTCTTGAATATCAACGGCAGCAGCTCATAACTGAGAGGCAACAGTTCCATCTGGAGCAATTGAAGGCGGCGGAGTTCAGGGCGCGCCAGCAGGCGCATCAGCGACTGGCTCAGGAGCAGCAGCAGCAGCAACAGCAACAACAGCAGAATCAACATCCGCCCTGGCAGCCGACCGCGCAACAGCAACAGCAACAACCGCCGAGTCCGCAGGCACAGGCGCAACAACCACCGTCGCACACGCCACCGCAGCAGACATAACTCTCTTGTGAGTTTTCTTTGAGTAATAAAAACAATTAGTCGATCGTGACAATGTACATGTATTTGCGTCGCTGTGATCACACACTTATAGGGAACGCATACGATACATTTGCCGTGTGCAATTTTCTTCATTGCATTATTTTTCGATCCTCTTTCGTTTCCCAGTTGCTCTTTGATCGAAGCTTAAGTTTCGAATCGCTTTTATTACGTTCTGTATATCGTGTGACAGAACATTCGAACGAGCCAAAACGATTTGATATCCCGTTACGAGCAGTCTTGGTGTCTCGAGGTAGGAATAAATGTGTGTAAATGCAAAAAAAGAAAAAAAAAGATACTTTGATACGTACAATTGAGTCTTCTATTATATATGAAATATATATGAATTATATGTGGGGAGGGGAGTAATTATTTTTCTTCACACTTACATCGCGTATACACGAGCGTATGTATGCGAGAGAATTTGTGGATCGAATTTTGTATGTTGTACTGCTCTATTCTCGCGCGATGATGTGTATTATAAGAGTTATAAAAATAGCGTAAGGACATGCACACGTATATAATATATATACGTCATAATATGTATATATATTATTACTGAATAATGCGACGTCTCTCTAATCTACAAGGCTTTGTTGTGTATCAATTCCAACACTAAGTCAGTCATGAGTCGAGCACACTCCGCGCCGCCCGGTGGCGGTCCTCCCGCGCTATGCTTCTCCTCGCTAGTTTCCGCACTCCTCTCATACAAGTCCGGCGCCTCGTGGCTGGCACACGTACTGATCGGTAGTATGTCCAACGCCAATCCCACCCCGAATCGTCCGCATCTTCGCATCTCTTCGTTTAGTCTACAAAGGGCAATTCACGAGTCAGACCACATTTCTCAGAGATCTGTGTACTAAAAAAGTTATCTATCAACTAATAGATCATCTATTAGTTTATCCATTAATCAATTAAAAGATTGATCCATCAGTTTTCCACAGCACAAAAATAATCCCCATCGATAGAGATGTATTCCAAGTATTTCTTTATGTCGAAGAATCCATCAACGTTTGTTCGACTTTCATTAATTCTGTTGAAGAGAATAATAGAATTACTCTCTCATATGTGATGTATTATTACTTATTAATTATCACTATTATTAACGATACACATCGTCTCTCCTGATGTGTAATTACTGTTAATGAGAGTAAGAGAATTATTCTCGTTAATTTTGGTCCTTGTGAAATGTAAGCTCAAGACGCGATGATTTAGGAACCAGCTTTCGACTTGGCGTTAAAATTCATGAATAACTTTTTGCATATCATTCACAAAATTGTTGGTAACGTGAATCGACTATAACGATATTGTTACACGCAAGCGACGACTGTATCTCGGTGTTTCACTTACAATTCCCACATGACAGATGGATCTTTCGGCGGCCGCTCCGGATTGAGGACACGTAAGGAGGACATCAGATGGGAATGATAGTGCTGGAGAAGCTGTGTCATGTAAGCCCGCCTAACCACACCACTCGTGCAGCAGTATAGCAAGTTCGCAAGATCAAGAGCGAGGGAACCGACCCGCGTCAGTTGAAAGTCGACTAAATAAACGGCCTGCAGAAACACAGTATTAAAGTCAAGTTGTCGGGTCTTTAGTGTGATCGTAGGGGTGCACCTCGGATCCGTGTCAGCTGATATTACGCAGAGCCTCAAACAGAGCTATCGTTTCACGAATCACAACTACTTACGGGGAAGAGAAATATGCTAGATATTCTTGCAACAAAAATATCTTCTCCCTATTTGCTTTCCTGCAATACAATTGTAACACATTAGGTGTTATTGTATTACAGGAAATTTATTGACAAATTGTCTAATATAAACGAAAGAATCTACTTGATTGAAAAATTATAAGCGTTAGATAGCTCTTTCGAAGATGAATTTAAACGCGGGAAGAAGTAGTAAATAAGAGTCTTGCCACACAGTTAACGCGGCTGTCACATATTGTAAGGAACAATTAATTACGAAGATTTATGCTTGTCCACCGACCCAGAAATATCCGTTGGCAAGAAGCTCATTTCATGATTGCCACCAGTTTATCACTTGGATATAAATAATTTTTTTTGCACGTAAATTCTTTACTTTATTGTATTAATTGATGTTATTTTTTTTAATCTCTCTCAAAAATTCTGATCAAAAAATCTGATAAAAAAATTTTTCAAGAATATTTTATAATCACGTTATACCATTATTTTGCAGAGGATCATTTATTGAATGTAACATCGTCAATATTACGAGATAACAACTATAGCAAGACTCTCATTTCTTTTTATGTTTAAATTCGATCAAAAAAGTAATTACCCACGGCTGTGTAATTTTGCGTGTGTGCGCGCGTATGTTTTATTTCTTTTTAACTCGTGTATATTGCTCTGAAATATTTGTCACATAATGAAAGCAGTTGCTTAAAAATGATTGGACGGGATTTATTTCAGTTGACTGTGTGTGACTCTTATTTTATGTGTATATGTATAAAAGACAGAGGGATCTTTTCTTCGTATCCGGCTACACGGATCTGGGTGAGCAACTTCGGCGAATTAAAATCTTTCCAATGATTCACAGATGGAAAAGAAACCTTTGAGAAAAACGTAATATAAGAATCTTATAAATTTATATAATAAAAGTGTATGGAACAAACTTGGGAAATTTTTTTTCGCTTCAATTAGTCCAAAGTACTCTCGGCTGAGCAAGAACGCGACTTTTCGTTGTGGAATATACGCATCGGACATGCGTATGTTCCACAACGCTTCGCGACGCTTTGAGCGACTTGTAAGATGAAAGAAGGTTCACCTCTACGTCCGAGCTTGGCTCGTCCCGGAAGAGAATATTGTTGGTCCAACAATCGCCGTGGCAAAATACAGAGAGAGGTCCCTGCGTGGAGACGAGCTCGCTCATAGTGCGGAAGAACACGTCTTCATTCAAAAAGGCCTGCAACTTTGTCATTATCTCCTCCCTTCGGAATTCTATATGCGAGGGTAGCGCATCGGACACCATTCGGATAGCGTTATTCGCGGCTACGCGATAATATTGTCGATACCAATCCTCGTTATCTCGTCGAAACAACACTTCTTGTATACCTTGATCATGTTCCGGATTCATTAATTTCGCGAACTCCTCCGGCCTTCAAAGAGTAACATCTTTTTGCATTAAAGGATCCGGAGATGATGTATAACGCGCGAAGTCGTTCGTCTTTTCCAAAATATACACGACTTATAATTGCAAAATCAATCAGCTTAATATTATTAATATTAGGTTGTTACAAAAGATGTTATTTCTTTATTAAATTCTTGTAAGAAGTTTACAAATTAAAAGTAGGATAGAAAATCTTCGTGAGATGTCGAAAATGATATACTGAGAAAGAAATATTTGAATATTTGTTTGTAGGATATAAAGTTTATATTTGCAGAAATAAATCTTATTTCATAGAAGTAAACTTTATTTTACAAAAATAAACTTTACATCCCACAAGTAAATTTGTAAATATTTTTTTTAAGTGCACCGAGTCGATGTCGTTTATTTTATGCGTAAAAATAATTTTTACTGGAATTGGATAATTTAGTTTTTTCGTTTTATTTGACAAGACTTTTGCGCCAATCTAATATTATCGTCATTACAACCATATATTTACCAAGGCATCTGCTTTACCTTTCGAAGCGCCTGGATTATCGTCTCGCATTAATATTCTAATCCTTTAAACGTTACAATACAATATTCTAGGCAACTTCGAAAGTCAGACACACATTTACCTGGACTCTTTCAGCGTCAAGCTGAGCGCGTGGAAGCCCGCCAATGCCTTCAACACGAGTCTCAGGTTCTCCACCTCCAACCCTTTCCGTCTGTCTGCCATTTCGAAACCTCTCTCCCTCAGGTCCTCCATGGCAATGAGGTCCGCTCTGGCGGCGTAGATCTTGGGTACACCACCAAACACCCTCTTGCCGACCGACTGCAGCCGGTTCAGCGCGGGCCATACGTGCTTATAGAACGCAACCTCATTTCGGAACAGCAGCTCGCTCTTGAACGCCTCGCGACGCTCCTTCGACGCCGGCAGGATCTTGTAGATGATCGCGCACTCGTACTTCGTCCACCCCTCGTCACCCTTCGACTGCTTGCGCCCTTTCGCCCGTACCCGGTACAACATAGAGGTGTAATTGTCTCCTCTTCCTGAGCCTGGTTCCTCGTCCAAACTAGTGATCTCCACGTCGGGTTCGTCTTTGGTGATCAATTCGCACACGTCGTCGAGCGTTAGTCTGACCTTACCGTCGCCGCCGACATCCATTGCGCCCCGAACTGCACGTAGACCTGATATCTATATTACGATCCTGTCTTCTCGATTTTCCTGGCAAGGGCCCGCCGACATTCTATACTTTACGGTGGACCGGAGTGTTATGCTGTCTGACGCAGGAAATGGGTATTTGAGCGGCGCGTAGGGCTGCCGCCCGCCGCCGCCTCCCGCCGCACGACTTAATTCATTAATGATTTGCGCCCCAACTCCAGAGACAAGGACATTGATACATATCAATCATACGAGTTTAAATTCCCTCGCTCGATAACAGCGAGGGTTTCTTCAAACGCGGCACGTTTCACAAACGCGCAAGGGTTTTACCGCGTCGACAGAATGATCGTATACCAGGGATGTTTTTTCTCTTGATCGATTTTGATGGAATTTCATTCTCGAACAATGTATGTTACAGTCCTGCATGTACACAATATAGAATACTAATATATATCTACAATATAACGTATAAATGTTCTATCGCATCATTTGTATTGGAAACGACGCTAATTACATAGACGGATGACACAGTTTCCCAATTCAGCGGGAATGATTGCGTTGCTGCGCTATTCGCTATGAAATATTCGCTTTACGCGGAGGACTGCTGCTCCTTGGACAGTGGCAAATTAAGAATATCACCCACCAAACTGATTAATAGGTTCTCTTGCGTGGAGGTAAGAGGTATAGTCTGATGGAATTTCTTGGCCATATCCCCGACTTCTTCCAGACCGAGAGAGATGACGTATTCGAGGATAGCCTGAAAGAAAGGCACGGTGACATTCTCGTCAATCAGTCGGATCGACCGGCGGTTAATGTGACGAATGTGTACATAATACTCACAAAGATCACAGGTGCGTGTCCTTGAGCAAGGCAAACCTCGAATATCTCGTTTATATGTTCTATTGCGACGCTGCCAGTTATCAGATGCGGCGACTTGGTCCACGACATGATAACGTCCATCGTTTTATCGATGTTACCGCCGCGTACAAGCAGCACCGCGATGTCGCCCATTATTGTACTGTTTACAATGGTGTGTTGTATCCTCCTGTTATTTCTAGACTGTATTACAAAACGAGATATAATCATTATTTCAGTAATATAAATATATTGGACAGAATATTAGATAACAGTAATTACAGTAATATTAGGAATAATAATAATAATATTAGTTCGACAATCTTTTTTTATGGAATACAGGTAATATGTTGGGTCAGTTAGGGAATTCAGTTCACGCGATTTTTTGTCCTCTACGATAGACATACGAATGCTATCAGAATATTGACAAAAACGATAACGGCGATTATTTAACTGGCAAATATTCAATTCCCATCGAATGCAATAGAGTCAAATTTCACTTCAAGATCGAACCGAATTTTTCAACTGTCTTGACATATTTTGTAGAAAATACAAGATGTCTCAGAGATATATTGGTTGATATAAAATTCATAAATGAAATGTGCCTCAGACATTCTGTAGAGTTTAAATCAAGAAACAATTCAATTACCTGTATGTGATCCCAGATTGTGAGTGCGATCTCCGCAAACTGCGCGTTCAACGGGGAATCGGTTGTAGGTTTACAATGTACGCTCATCAAGTTCAATAAACACTCTAATAAGTCTTCCCTGTCCAGATGACCGAACATTATCATATGGGACCAGATTTTTGGTATATATTGCATGGTGATCTCTGCGGCATAACAGCCCAAAGTTTCTAATATAGTCAGCATTACGGAGGGTTCTGGTATGGTTACGTGCGGCACGAGTTTGTTATAGATCTTGAAGAACACGTCGAAATTCTCCGTTGCCAGAATCAGTTCCAAGTACGCCCGGTAATAGTTGCTCTCCTGAAGCGAGAGAAGGTAATCGGGTAACGATATAGTTGCACGACTACGAAGTGCACAATATAACATGCTTACACGATAATTGAAACAAATATAAGACTCTGTATGAGATGAAATAAATAATAAAACACCAATAAGAGACATACGCTGGTCTTTATGCGGAAACCAAGTTTAAGTGAAGATGATCCAAAGTAGAATCAAAACGTACAAATATATTTTAACTATGTATTGTCTTTGTATTCATAATATTTACTGGCGATTAGTATTTTTTTATTAAACTTTACTTATGTACGGAGATTACGAAGACAAACAGCTATGGATAGAAAAATGTAATAATATAGTATTATAATATAATAATATAGTATTAAACAATTAAACAGAAAAATATAGCTTTACATATATGGGTCGTATTCCTGAAAAATATCGCATACGATATTTCAATGAAAAACTATACGTAACATGAATACTTTTAATAGTAATATTATATACGATATTTTTCGAGAATAAAGTTGCAAGTCCCTTAGCTTGATGACGTCAGAAGCGAGAAAATGCATGCAAAAAATCCTTGCGTGTAATCTTTCTTATTAAAATTAACATGACGTGCAAATCTTCTTCTTCAACCTATCTATCTTTATAATTTTGCCACGTTAATTTTAAGGCTATTTATTGACTGTCGAAGGAAAAAAATAGTTCTCGAAGCATTTTACAAATATGTTCACAAGCGAACCTGAAGTGTTCTCTCATATAAATATCTTTTTATGTGATTGTGGTATGCAAAAATTTTTGTCATGCGGTTTCTTGCTTCTAACGTTATCAATCTAGAATTTCGCAACAATGAGACTAGAGGAATCTTAAATATATAATAGACGATATAGCTTAAATAAGTAAACAGAGATATTTATAAGAAATGCGTGATCCAAAGCACATCGAAATCTGCCGACAATTATAGAACACACTTACGTTATAATTGTTTCCAATAAATTTATAATTGTCGCCAGTGAGTAGCAGCTCGTTCACCGCTTCGCCCAGCTGACGATCACAAAATTGTCGAGACATATTCATCGCGGTCACGAAGAAATCCATGTCTTTCGCATTTTGGACGACGGGAATCTCCTTCTTTAAGGATCTCAAAATTTGTACGAAGCTGTTGTACGCTGAGTCATCTGCGCTAACAGAGAAGTCGGTGAGTATTCTATTGCGACAATATACGAGATGTTCTCGGATGTTAGAAAATAGCAACTTGCGATTACCGAATTTGCTTAAAATACATAGCAGATAGTAATACGTAGTTAACGACGGTTTTAGTTGGAAGTATTCGATATCTGCGAGTATGTTGCGTGTGAAATCGAGGGCTTCCTTCTTGGACGACAAAGAGGCTGCTATGTTGAGAACAGCATTGAACGTATAAATATTCGGAGTGACTCCGTTCTCGGCCATCGTTTTGTATATATCCTTCACAAATGTTCTCGATTTCTCGCCTTCTCTGTTTACAAACTGCACTAATGATATCATAGCATTATATCCTCTGACAGACAACGGCAGTCTCTTTTTTTGACACTCCTGGTACAAGTGCCAAGCCTTATCTATCTAAAAAGAGAAAGCTACATTAAATCTTCTCGTGTGACGCGCCGTACGTGTAAAATTTTGCTTAAAACTTTTGACGCTTCGCCGCGGCCATCTTGATTTAAGACACCAGAAGCGAGAAAATACAAGCTAAAAATTCTTGCAAAATACGAAGAAATAAAAAATGTATCCATACAATGATACTTTCAATCGGTCGACTAGATATGTAAAATAATGCGAACACTTTCCTTTTGTTATAACAGTCAATAATTAGCTGTAAAATTAATGTGACAAAATTGAAGAAATAGAGTTTAAAAAAGTAAGTTGCGTGTCACATACATTAATTTTACAGTAATTTATCGATTGTTAGAGCAAAAGGAAAGTATTCGGATTATGTCATTTTATGGATATATCTTTTTATTCCAACGTATTTTGCAAGAACTTTTAGCGTGTATTTTCTCGTTTCTGACTTCATCAATTGAGAGTTCCGTCGAGAAGCCAGGAGCCTTAGTGCGATTGCACTTGTGATCAATTTAGTAGGTCAAATATCTTACACTGAAATATTTGGCTAAACCGCATATCATCGCGTCGTACGCGGCAGCTGCCACCTTGGGCTCTTGTTGTATTAGGAAATCAAACAACACGTTGATCTGTGGTCGGGTTCTGCAAAAGTACAATCAAACTTGAAACATATACTGAAGACGCTCAAAGGAAATAGATATTCACTGACGATGTATATTGTTGCAAAAAGTTTTAGTGCTAATCAAATAAAATAGAAAAAGAATTATCAAAGTTTGAAAAACTGATAATTGTTACAAGTAAAATAAATAACAATGACTCGGTATGTTTTTAGACATTTAAAGCTCCTGGCTACTCGCCGCAAAACTCTCGATTGATGATGTCAGAAGCAAGGAAATACATGCCCAAAATTCTTGAAAAGCATGTCAAAATAGAAAGATATATTAAAAAAAATTTACAGTCGATTAAGTATACCTCTAAAATACTCAGAACACTTTTCTTTTGCTCTAATAGTCAATAAATAACCGTAAAATTAACACACAAAACAATAAGGAAATGCAAGTTAAAAAGAAAGATTGCATGTCACATTAATTTTGCAGTTATTCATGCAGAGCAAAAGAGAAGTATTCGGAGTATTTTAGAGGTTTGCTTAATTGCAAGTGTCATTTTTTGGATGAATCTTTTTATTTTTCGGCATATTTTGCAAGAATATTTGGCAAGAATGCATTTCCTCGCTTCTAATATTGCAAATCAAGATGCTTGTGGTAACTAGCCAAGATTCTTAATGACTTTCTATTAAAAAAAAAAAAAGAAAATTAAGATCTTTTTTGTTTTAGACTTTCTACTTTCCTTTTAGTTCCCAAACGAAAAAAAATTAATCTTACAAAAATCAAATTAAATTTCTCTTACAAAAATCGAACAGAAAAATAACAAATCTTTTGCAGAATTTAACAGTAGAAAAAAGTAATCTCTTAGTACTCACATCCAAATATTTTTATCTCGTTTATTTGTCTGATACCAACGATATTCGAGAAGATCGGTGTTGATGGGTTGACTATTATTGTAAAAACACAATAATTCCAAGAGGGCCTGTTTTGTAGGTATTGTTATGTCAACTTTTAACAAATCATATATGGTGATAGCGTCGGAAACGTTACAGTTTGATATTTCATATAATAATGTTTCCTCTGTAACTACACTTTTTTCTGTGTAAACTGGAGGTGGGACAAATGCCTGTATATAAATACAAAATCCTTTAGTATGAAAACTTAATGTATTTATTGACATAGGTAAAAATGAATTATCATTTAAATTGTTTCATAGATATAAATGTGATATAAATAGTAAATAGAATGATTCTAAATGTATCACCTTGATTTCAGGTTCTGCCACTTTGTGATAAAACAAATTAGAGTGTTCTTGTCGAACCCACATTGCAGCTTTTTTTCCAGCCTCACGGGCTAATGCATATGAGCGGTTTTGTATTCTTGACAGTGGCATTAGATATGGGTCATCGTGAAACTTATAATGTGGTGCTGTATAATCCCTAGATATCGTGCTTTCAAGAGCCTACAGGACAGATCATTTCATATGTAGAAATTAAACCTACACTTCTATTCTTCAACATAATATAATATAATAATATAATAAAATTTTCTCTTACTTTCAAGATATCTGTTGGTCCACGTTCCTTCCTGTTTGGAATATAAATATCTGAAGATGACGATGTTGCAGCTGTAGATTGTAACCGTATTATCAACTCTTGACAGAGCCTTCTGTAAATAATACAATACTGTGTTTAAAAAAGTTAAATAACTAACAATTATTTCTTCATTGAGGCACAAATGTAGCTCTGTAGTAAATCACAGATTTTTTACTGAGTTAAATAATAAAAATTAGATTCGTGTAAGTAGAGAAATTAAGTTAATTAAAACTTCAATATATAATTAAAATCTCTGTTTTTAGTTTCGAAGCTTTCATGTCTGATAAATAGTGTTGATAGTTATCGGTGCAGGTATAGGTGTGAATAAAGTTGAATAATTTTATTTAAAAAAGTAATTAATTTACGTATACAAGCTGAATGAATTAAAATTCATCACATACCTACGCGAAATTCTTGTTAAAGAATTCATCGTGTAAACTTTTAAAGTAAAATATATTTTATTTTTCCGAGATTTCACTCTTCTCTTAACCTCAAAACAGTTATTGGAGGAGAATACGTTTGTTCATGTTGCTTGTACTTTTGACACTTCCATACTTAAAGGTGTGGGTCCAATGGTCTGTAACATATCCGTATCCGTAACCATAAACAAAATCGAGTCGTGATTGGTCGTGATATATATCACGACCAATCACGACTCGATTTTGTTTATGGTTACGGATACGGATATGTTTACGGACCATTGGATCCGCACCTTTATTCCTTTGCATACCAGACATAATGAGCGATATCCAATGAGAGCTCTTCTTTCTAAAGAGAAATTAGTGTACAATGGGCATTAAGTGTAAAAGTGTCAAGAGTGCAAGCAACACGAACAGACCGAATATCTTCGCGAAAGGGACCTTTTTATATCATCTGAAGATGAGCTTATGTTTATTTTCAGATGCTGCATGGATCATTTTATTGGTTACGGAGTATCTGCAGATGAACCTAAGGCGGTTTTAAATATAAATTTCGACTATAAATACTGGCTTAAAGGCCCATTTATGGCCGTAACCAGTGGCGTAGCCAGAAAAAAGTTTCAGGAGGGGGGCTGTACTTTTTATTTTAACGAGCAAATCGAAATTGACGAGGTCATTCGAAAAAATTTTTCTCACACTTAGCGTAACCCAGAAAATTAATTTCGGGAGGGGGAAGGAGACTGCAGCTTCCCCTGGCTATGCCACTGGCCATAACCGTTATCTCATGCTGTCCATAAGAAAATGCTTAATCCATAAGAAATTGAGCAATTGCAGTCGATTGTTATTGGGAGTGTGCATTAATTTTAAGGGATTTCTTGGTAAAAATACGACTTTATTGTGATTAAATGGTTACAAATTAATCATTCAAAATATTGTCCATCGCTAGCCACTACTTTTTCCCATCTTTCTGGTAATATGTGAATTCCACATCGAAAGAACGACACATCTTTTGAGGCTATCCACGAATCGATCCATTTTTTGGTATCTTCATAAGAATGGAAGCGCTGCTCAGACGATTCGACGATTCACATGATTGGTCAATTCTTACGTTACGTTTTACGGTTACTGTTACGGAAAGTGTGTGTGGTCAGCTTAAGGCTGGGAGCACAGACTTTTGCATAACGCATAACGGAATCAACCAATCAGAGACCTTTATTTCCCTCTCCAGGATAGAAATGATTGACTCTGATTGATTGATTTCCTTATGCGTTATGCAAAAGTCTGTGCTCAGGCCCTTACTGTTATGTCAATTCGTATACGGCGCCTCTAAAGGCCAAATCACACTAACGATTAGCGAGAGATGATTGACGATTGAAGATTGGAACTTGACCAATTGGAACAAAGCAAGCCAAGGCTGAAGCTTGTTGATTCGTTAAAATCTAATCTTCAATCGTCAATTGACGATTGACGATTGAAGATTAGATTTTAACGAATTTTTAACCTTTAAAGGCTAAATCACACTAGCGATTGGCGATTGACGATTGACAATTAAAGATTAGATTTTAATGAATCAACAAGCTTCAGCTTTGGCTTGCTTCGTTCCAATTGGTCAAGTTCCAATCTTCAATCGTCAATCATCTATCGCCGATCGTTAGTGTGACTTGGTCTTAAGACGTAACGTAAGAATTGACCAATTATGATTGAGTATTCATAAACATGGCAACCTTACGTTTCGACGATTTTCAACATGATTGTCTGGTTTTAATTTTACATAGCACTATATAAAGGCCATTTTACAATAGCTGTAAGAATATGGCTGTAAGGCTGTAACGTGAACTGTCAGCGAATGAAAATAATTCATTTCGAGTCTTACAGACTTACAGCCATATTCTTACAGCTATTGTAGAATGGCCTTAAGGGAGTAAGGGCCGTGGCACACAAAAAAACTTAAGTAGTAAGCGTAAGCAGTAAGTAAATTGACCAATCACAGTCGTTGATTCTTGGACCGTAAGAAGAATCAATGACTGTGATTGGTCAATTTGCTTACTGCTTACGTTTTACTGCTTACGTTTTTCTATGTGCCATCAGCTTTAACAGTATAGTAGTTATATAGAAGTCTGTGTTCTCGTCACACATTGTCAACTGGTCAAGTTGCTTCCATGGGACGCACACATCCGCATTTGCGTCGAAATACACGATTTGTGGAAGTGAGAGCTTGATATATGTCTGCACCGTGATGTTAGCGCCCACTTTCTTGCTCCATTAGCAATATAATTACATATATGCTATAAAATTATAAAAAATAATAACCAAGGTTGAATTTTGGAACGCACTCCAGATTGGTAAAACTTTCATCTAGCTATAATTCGTACGTATATTTTCAATTACAAATAAACGCTTGTTTTATGTGTAAAGAATTTCTGTACCAGCGATTTTCTAAAATGTCAAATGTAATTGAGCAAAGATCATGCATTAAATTTTGTTTTTACAACGAAATTACAGCTGGAAAGTTTGAAATGTTATAAAAACACCTTTGGTGACGATACTCTATCAAAAACAAGAGTTTTCGAATAGTATAAGATGTTCAAGGAAGGCAGAGAATGCGTCGAAGATGAACCACGCTCTGGTAGACTATTTACTTCAACTGATGAGCAACACGTCACTCAAATAAGAGATTTGGTGCTCATTGATGATCGTTTAACAATTAGGGATATTATTGAATATGTTCCAATATTATTGGGATCTTGTCAAGCAATTTTAAAAAATAATTTGAACTTGCGGCGCATCGCTTCTCGAGTCGTTCCGAAAACGTTGAATATTTTCCAAAAACAATAACGTGTTCAAGTGGCCAAGGAGACGCTTTCTGGAGGCGAATCGTTATTAAAACGCATCATTACGGGTGGTGAAACATAGATCTACACTTTTAATACCGAAAAAGTTCAACAATTAAGTGAATGGTGCTCGAAAGATAAAGCAGGCCCATCGAGAAGACTACGTCAAAGTCAGTTAAAAGTCAAAATAATGTTGACTGTTTTCTTCAATTATCGTGGTGTTGTACATTATAAATTCCTTCCGACTGACCAAACTGTCAATAAAGAATATTATTTGAGCGTTTTGCGTCGTTTGCATGAAGCAATTCGTACAAAACGATTTGATTTATGGCGAGATAACTCATGGATTTTGCACCACGATAATGCATTTGCTCACAATGCTCTTGTTGTTCGTGAATTTTTGATCAAATATTCAACCAATACGGTTCCGCAAGCTCCGTATTCACCTGATATGACACCGTATGACTTTTTTCTGTTTCCTCGACTAAAATTTTGACTTCGTGGTCACCGTTTTGAGTCGATTAATGCCATGAAAGAAAATTCGCTGCAAGTCCTAAAGAAGTTTCACGAAAACGACTTTAAAGCATGTTTCGAGGATTGGAAAAAACGTTGGCATAAATGCATTGTAGTTTGAAGGGAACAAAGTAAATTTTGATAAATAAATAATAATTTGATAATAATTAATAATAATTAATAATAATAGTTAATTTGATAATAATTAATAATAATTTGATAATAAATTCAAATCTTGCGTTTTATTGAAACATTCCCGAAATTCTTTTGTTTATTTTGTGGCTCTCTGCAAGAGATCTCTATTATGATTCTTGATTTGTGTTTCAAAATTCTACTTAGCGGGTAAAATAAGAATAAAATTACACGGTGCACAATAAAACTGTGGAATAGAGAGTTGCATCATAGAAGCAATCAATCAGCGCTATTTTATTTTTTTCTGTCAGATTGCTTTCCCCTTGACGAAAATAAACTCTTTATAAATCGTTTGATAAGAATTTCCTGAGAGTTTATACACTTTTAAACTTTGTATGACGCTTACTCAATGCCATTGGATTTTGAACGCTTTCAGAACGCTTTCAAACTTATCTAATGCTATATATAACATTTCGTGAATGTTCTGCAATGCTGAAGCATTTCAAAGTACGCTTTTCAAAGTACGCTCAATAAATGCTAATACATCTTCGTGTAGAAAGTTTACTATCAGACTTTTAAAGCGTTTAAAAAACACTTTTCCTACAACGCCGTAAGGCAAGCGTTTTTCTCCGTTCAGCAAACAATCTTCCAATACGCAAACGCTACAGTTGCAATTTCCGCTCTACTGACAATTTTTAAACTCTCAACGAACTCCCCTAAAAAAAAGTTTATAGAGAATGATAGAATAAAATTCTATAGTTTTCTATGAATTTTCTATCGTTTTGAATATGGATTTTGGTTCGTAAATTCACAAATGTGAATAGTATTCTATTATATACAATAGAATACAATAGATAGTGATAGAATTTCTATCGTCAGTTTCCTAAATAATACAAACAGAACCCGATTCTTATAGAACCAGATAAAATACGATAGGATTTATATCTGATGTTCGCGAATGCTGCGCTTACGAACGACAGAGCTTATAGAAAACAATACAAATTGATAGAAATTCTATCGTTCTCAATCGTTCTCTATCAATTTTTTATCAGGGCCCGTAAACGCTTACGTAAACGCTAAACAAAAGTTTATGAAACTTCTTATTTTCGTCAAGGCCTTGATTGATTTGTTGCTTCTGTGTCGCACTCTCTATTTCGCAGTACTATTACACACCGTGTAATTTCACCCTAACATTCAATTAACTATTCATAATAAAGACATCTTAGTTCTATTTGTTCTAATTGATCAATTAAATGCTACTCTACATTTTGAGAATATCTCGATTATCTTCATCCTGAATACTTTTGATAAACCATTAAAAACCGGCAATCCTATTTGATTACGTCCTATCGAAAAGTCGTAACTCGCACATGTATACGAGACGTCAAGTTATCAAAATGTCACATTGGCTATGACACATTTCCGTTTATCAGATTAATCAACAGTTATGAGAATAGTTTTTTAGAGACGGATGTGGTTATTTAAAAATTTTTAGTGAGTATTGATCTAGTGAATAGTATAGCATCCATGTGTTCGAGTACTCAGTTATATGGACGTAAGAATACATGGACGGAGCATATTGTCGAGGAGGTGAAGCCCATGGGGTGAGGGGAATGATTGTATACATTGTAATGGAGTTAATATATCAAGATGGCGACGGTCGCTGTTTTTACACAT